GTCAGCCCTTTGGCAGACCACCAGCACCTCAAATCACTGAAAGAACAGGCTCCTCTACTTGCCACATCTGCCCATGGATTTCACCTCAGGGCAGACGGATTTATTGGCTGGTGGTAGCTGCCCATCGGCCCCAAACAGGGAGGTTATGGATTATAAAATCCTTGAAGAAATATACTTTTTCCACTTGAAGGGAAAGACTTGGCCTGGCTGGGGTGGCTCAGTGGGTGAGCATTGACCAGGAGGTCACGCTTCAATTCCCAATCAGGGCACATATCTGGATTCTGGGCTCAATCCCCAGCAGGAGGCAGCCGATCAAAGATTCTTTCTCATCATTGATGTTTCTGTCCCTCTCTCCCTCTCCCCTCCTCTTTCTGAAATCAAAAGCATATTTTTTAAAAAAGGAAGACTTAAAAAATTAACCAATGGGAATGTTGCTCAATCCTCTATCTCTGAGGGTGACGTAAAAGCAGGCTAAAGAGGCTCCCACAACTATTCCTTCTCACTTGACAGTCTCCCCTGAACCCCTAATATTCTCCCAATGCCAGGATTTCTCTCCACCCTGTTCTTCCTTGGATTTTGATCAGCTTTTTGCCTTTTGTTCTGACCTTACCACTTCACAGTTCCTCAAATCAGTGGCCCTGCTACTCTCTTTTTCGGTGACCATCATATAGGTTATCCCTGCTAAAATTCTTTAATAGATAGAAATGGAAAAATGGGGGGGGGGGGTCAAATAAACCAATTTGAATTGAATTGCAAACTTATTTAGCACTCTCAGTTCCTGTTTCAGCAAACTGGCTGTGGTTCAACTGCAGCTCTTTCTGGACCATGCCTTTGAACATTTCGTTACATAAATAGTGGGAGGTTCTCCCTCGCATAACCTTTTCTCCTGGTCTCTCGTGCCATCAGATATTTATTCAAGTATCAGCCCATTTGACTGCCCACATTATGGGATTCCAGTAATCAAGTGTTTTTCAGCTGTAGAGATTCTTTCTTCCGGTGCTTACTTGTTGCCACCCCTAACCTATAACAAAGGGGTCCCATGTGAGTTCCATGCAGGGTGTCCCCAGCCTGACTTCCTGCTACCTCAGCAGCTAAGAGTTCCTGAATCACATAAAAACTTCCCAGCAGAGTAATTTTCCAGCAACAGAAAGACTCCCTGCATCTGTAGGGACTAGAAGAGGGCACTGAACTCATTGTTTGATTGGGTCCTGGGAGCTGTTTGTTCTTTTGTCAATTGCCCTTGGAAAGGAAATCAACAACAGAGAGTTCCTGAGTGTTTGTGGAGCAAAAGTGGCTGCATGCATTTGAATTGGATCAGGAGTATCTTGAAGGTGACAAAAATTGCCCAAAAGATTCCTCCCCTCCCCCAGCCCCTCATATTTTAAACCCTTAATGTAGTTAAGAAATACTTATCTCTTTTAATAATAGTACACTGCAGGAATTTTGCAAATTAGAGATGCAAACATATTGCTAAGGCAACTTTCCAGATCACTCATTAATCACAGACCCAGTCCACTGGCTTCTGTGACAGACATGAGCATTTTCAGGAATTACCCATGATACCCAGGGAAATACAGGACTGAGAAATTCCCAAGCTCCTTACAAAATCTCTGTGACCTAACTCAGGTTATTCTTATTTCTCACTTTCAAAAAAAAAAATCCCCATATGATTCATTCAGAAAGTCTTAGCTACAGGTCCCAAGATTCACACCCTCCACCCAGCATAGCCACCCCTGTTAAGAAAAACATGGTGAAAAGATTTCAGCTCCACCGCATTGTGTGTAAAAGAAACCAAGTAGGTTAACAGTACACAACTTATATATTAAAATGATAAACACATTGTTTACTAAATGCCAGGCAACAGTAACCCACACTTGTGAATGTCTTATATAATTTAAAGTACAATAACTGGGGGTTGTTTGGTTCTTGCAGCGTTTTTTTGTCCTGGATAATGGAATGTTAAAGTATTCAAAGGCACCACTTGATGTAAGTAGCACACAAGGCATGTGTCAAAGATTGATGTAGAATTTGCTTGAAGTGTGTACACACCACAGCTGTGCCAGCCTTGTGCCATAGCTACCAGCTTTGTTCATTTTTGTGCCTGTAATATTTAACACGCTACCAGACTTCCATGCTGCATGGAAGGTGTGTTTTAGGCTTCAGCTCAAGCTAACATAAAATCTCAAACTGGTGCATGAAGATTTAATTTCACTATTGTGCTGTCTGTTGTTCCAAGCAAGCTTAAACCTAAAAGTAGCACACGAACAAAAATCAACTTTTCGTCTTGGAGAGAAAACCCAAATGGGCTTTTTTTCTGCATTTTAATAAACTATGCTTTATGTGCTGTTTGAGATTTAAAGCAACCTTTGTTCTTGTCGATGTCCTTTTAATACCTATCTTATGAACTTCATTTCTATTTCATATCATACATTCTCTTATCTTGGGAATCCCAACTTACTAAAATTAATCCTATTTATTTTTCTTTACTGTAGAAAGTAGTTGTTTGCATGCAAAACCAGAAAATGCCCTCCTTATCATTGTGGTGTGGGGAAATAAGAGTTCAGTTTTGTTCTCATCTCTTCCACTGAATCGCTGTGTGTCCTTGGTCAGACGAGGGCAGCCAGAATGAAGAGCGGGCTGCTCTGTGCTCTCTGGTCCCAGCTGCCCAGTTCTGGCCCAGCAGCTGTCTGCTAGCAGATTATCTGGGGACGGTTCTGGGCTGTAGGTCAAAGATGGACCACAGTTATTTTAAGAACCATTAAAGACATATTTTGGGGGATATAAGTTATACAACTTAGAATTATAAAAAAGGGACATTATATGTTATGCCAGAAACAGGAGTAAGAGCTGGATAGTCTTACTGAAATTGGTGTGGAGTCATGGCAACTTCAACAGTCCTCAGGTTAAGGACCTTCACCTCAGAACCCGAACCTTTTTCCCTTTCTGAAGAGAAGTTAAAGGTGTCATTAAGCTCACTTCCGTGCAGAAACACATCATCCATCCTTCCAGCCTCTTTACTAGTGTTTTAAATATTTCAGATTCAGAAAGGGAAGGTCCACGGAAGCATCGATGTCGGACTCTCGGTCATGTCTATTAAAAAGAAAGCCCGGAGGATAGACCTGGACACAGAAGAGCACATCTATCATTTGAAGGTGGAGTTGCTTTTCAGGTTTCTCTGCCATTACCCGAGGAAATCACTCGCCTGTATCAGTGGTAAACAGAGCATCGGTTTCACCACTACCTTCTCCTCTTGTTCATTGTTTCAGGTGAAATCCCAGGACTGGTTTGATGCGTGGGTCTCCAAACTGCGCCACCATCGCCTGTACCGGCAGAATGAGATTGTGAGGTCGCCACGAGATGCGAGTTTTCACATATTTCCTTCAACCTCCACAGCTGAATCCTCACCAGCTGCTAACGTTTCCGTCGTAGATGGAAAGGTGTGTCTTAGAAATATAAAAGTCAGCCCAGAAATTGCTTGGAAAGTTATGTAGGCCCATAACAGAGTCTCATTTGACCAACCCAAAAGAGATGATCTTCTTTGTAAAGTAGCTCTCAGAAGACAGTAGTGACGTTTGGCATCAAAGTTAATAACAAGTACGGATCAGGTGGATATGTGGATCACCGAGAGAATTAATGGTTGCTTTTCCTTTTTACGAATGGACTACAACCTGATTTTCTACAGCTTTTTAAGAATATTTGGAAGTGGGGCGAACATTTGATTAATTAGCACCTAGAAATTGATGTCTTCCTGGGTGGTAATAGGAAGACTACAAAGTTTTGAAAATGAAACTTGCTTTTTTGCCTTGAGATGTAATACATACATGACCCAGGGGGAGACGAGTAAATTTCCCCCTGAGGTTAATGCAAGTGGGCTAGAGAATTTGCCAACAACCTGAGCAGCAGCCCACTAAGTCAGGCAGTGTTAGGCATTTGACATATATTCATCTCTAATCTTTAATATAGCGAAAGCTCAGAGACAGAACAGAATTTTCCCAGGTGTTATGTGGCCATTGAACAGCCGAGCCAGGATCTGAGTCCTCACCTCTCAGTTTCCTTTCCATTATTCTGGGTCCCAGAGTGCGGAAGACCGAAGTTGTTCTTTGGACTGTAGAAAGAGTTCATTTTCTGTGTTGCTGAAAAACTAGAGGTGTTGCCTATTAAAAATCAAGGTTAAGACCACAGGCAGGGAGACAGCTGTTTGTGCCTTTGACTCGATAATTAAGTTTTCTGAACCAGAGCCACTTGGCCCTGCCCAGGGGTGTTCCAGCTTTCCACTCGGCGCCTGACATTGAGAACAGGGACATCTGTGAATAACTGGCTGCCGCCAGGAGCTGGATTTGAGAATGTTTCAGTGAAAATCCCCCTTTCTCTATTTTCTCATATAAGGGTGTATATAGTACATATATCTAAGTTTTCTTTGCAAAGCATTGAAAAACATCAACTGTAAGACTAATCAAATCAGAGTAAATAAAACATTTCTGTGTTCAGTTTTTATTATCTCAATGGAAATTACTCAAGTATTTCGTAGGCTCTGAAACCTTTCGGGTTGTAGCCTTGGCAAGGCTATTTAATCAGTCCTAGGAAGGAGGTGTTGGGTGAACCAGGAGATCAGAGGGTTGGGAAACAGGGCACTTACTGAATGACCCAACACAAGATGCTCAACATAACCCCCAAGTTTCTCTGAGCCTCCTGCCTTCCTCCTGCCTTCTCCCCACAGGATAGAATGAATCCCAGAGTCAGTCCAAATTAAACAAGAAATGTATCCCTGCTGGATATTTTTAAAATAGAAATGTTTAATCCTTTGATGGTTCCAGCTTCTGCCTGCATCTTTGGCACAGAGTGTTGATAAAAGATACATTATTTTCATCCCTTTTGTTATTTATTAAATCACTTGGGTGATATCCAAGAACAAAGAGCTGAAACTAAATCCTCCCCACTGTTTGCCTTGAAATAAGAAAGCTCTTTAGCTCTGGTTTTCATAGGAGATCTATTGCCCTAGTTATGAATGACATTCTCTTAGATCTAACTCAGTGAAAAATTCCCAATACATTTATCAAAATGCAATAAAGTCTGAGGAGAGCTCTTAACACTGCTTGCATTCTGAGTATCAAGTCCTGAGACTTCTGAATGTTAATTGCTTTGTGGCCCAGTGTGGGTAACAAATAAGTCTGTGTTGGCTATGTATGAGCATCCTTCACTTCAGAATAAATTAGAAGAGACACAGCCACTTGTAATCGAAAATTAAAAAGCAAAATTAAATATGGAGTTTTAAAGTTGTTTCAGCTTTTGGGAAAATAACTTTCTGCTTTCTCCCCCCCCCCCCCCCCCACTGAACATTTACTGTACTCACTGTAGTATCTACATAGTTCATACAACTTTATTTCCCATAAAATACCTTCCATGGGAAGTATATCAGCTTTAAGTAATAAACTTGGCAAGACTACCTTTTTATATACTAGACTTTTCAGTATGCATTCAAAGCATTTGCAAGGTTACTTGCTGATGGATAATGTACAGTAATTAGGAATCACAGGTGACTACCTCGATCTTGAGCTGATCATGAGCACACAGAGAGCTTTTGTAAGGGAATGGGCCTTCCATCATGAGTTGAGTCTGCAGTGAGGACACTGTATCCAATACGACTGATAGAGTAATTTAACATCGTTGGGAATTTGAGTCGGCAGGTCCCTGAGAGTATGAGATGTAACCTACTTGAGTGTTGTCCCATTCAGTGTCCTGGTATAACAGAGAAAGCAATTGATGAAAGTGTTGTTAGTGTTTGTGAATTTTGGCTTCACTGAGCATGTACCACATTTAACCAAGAGGCTTTCTCCATATTTTGATTGTGCCCTTTCTTCCTTTCTTTATAAATGGTCTTTTGAGAGTACTTGTATTTTTTTAAACCACTTAAATGTACTGTTTCTGCTTAACTTCAGTTTTTGTTGTTGTTTATTTTAGATGCAACCAAACAGCTGTTCATGGCAGTCCCCCTTGCCATGCAGTAACAGCCTCCCTGTCACCTGCACCACCGGCCAGAGCAAAGTGGCAGCCTGGTTACAGGACTCGGAAGAAATGGACAGGTGTGCAGAAGGTTAGTACTTACCCAGCATAAGCCAAGCAACAGAAACAAAGGAGGTGAATCGAGGGTGCTGCACCTTTCACTTCCTCCACCTCCCTGATGACTCGACTTGTTTTTTTTCTTTTCTTTTCTTATTTTTATACACCAGGTCCTTCTTCCCATGACTTGGGCCTCCTACCTGTCAGTTCTGCACCCTCACAAGTACTGAACCTGGTTTCGTCCTTACCCTGACCTCCACCTCTTCAGCCTTCTCACCTCATCTCATTTCCATTTCCCTTCTGCCTTCCTTAGCCTCCCAGTCCCTGACCCCTGGGGCAACCATGGGAGAAGTGCTGCCCCAGGAGTACCCTCCACCCTCACTCCTTGACTCTCTGCCCCATCACTCCATCACATCTGTGCATTGCCTTGCTTGCAATAAATAGCTAAATTATATTGTATCTTATATCTAGTTACCTGTTGGAGGTGTTCCACTGTGGATCAGTTATGAAATACTCTGAACTAACAGTGATTCCCTCACTCTGCCATCTCTGAGCCTCTTAGTCTCCAGAAGCCTTCTCCATCTGTAGGGTAATCACAATTATTAAGAAATATGAATATAATATTAACTGGATAGAAGACTCCATAGATAGACAATGTTAGATAATCACCTCACCAGCACCTTGCTTGTGATATAATTTTGTTTTTTAAAAGGCAAGTTGAAGTATAGGTTCCTTTTAGCCATTTTTTTTCTCTCCTTCCCTCTCACCCCTTCCTTCCTTCTGTGCACTGCGTTTCTCCCTCATTTTTCTCCTTTTATCTTCTGGTTCCTGCCCTTCAGAGCCACTTTCCCTTGTTTTCTATAAAGGGAAGGAGATGGGGCATACACAGGCGCTGCCTCCCCTGAAAGGGGGAAGGGGCACTGGCCTTTCCATTATTCGCTTCCTCCCACCTTCATTGGGTGCTTCCCTCTCTGAAGAAATGTAAGGCCATTGATAGCCAAGAGTTCCCTGGAGGGACAATAGCAGCACTTGAACAGCCAACCTGGGCTCCATCCTGAGGCAAATGCTGCTAAAAGGAGGGACTAAGGTGTGGCCTAGCCTTCAGATGAATTGCTCTCCATGAACTGTGCAGGGATTCTCAGTCCTCTATGAAGAGTCTTAGTATTTTACCTCTCTATTTTATTTTATAGTGACCAAAAAAAAAAAAAAAAATCTGCCAAAAATGTCAAAAACCTCTACAACTACCTTTGTCATTTGACCCAGCTAATCTTTAGCCATATTTAACAGTAATATTTTGTTGCCTATACCAAATTTGTAACAATTCAGATCTTTGAGATTTAATGAGAAACAAATATAAGTGAAATTTTCACCAACTGCCACAAAAATAAGAGCGACCACTTTATAATTTTACAGATTTATACACATGCCTCTTCATAAACAGTACACATGCAGAAGTCATCACATAACTGGGAGCCATGTTCATAATATCACCAATTGAGTAAATAATACTAATAACTCAATATCCTTGACGGTATTGAATTTCACATACTAAATGTCATTTTTGTGTGTGATATTTCAATGTGCAGATCTTTAAACATTCATTTTTTAAATATATCAAAAAATTAAAAATAAAATTAAAAGTTATTTCTTCATTCTAAGCCATTCAAACAGAATGGGCTTCATGCCCAGGTGATGCCACTCCTGTTGGGCCCAGCAACACACTCTGAGAATCTTTAGTTTTGTTGAGTGTAACATCTCCACTAGATTCTAAAGAAATCATGCATGGCCACACTGTTGTGAGCTAAATTAAAGATAAATACATTCACCTGACTCTGTGTTCCATCTTATTTTTCTGAACTTGACTTTGCCTCCACCCATATTCCAAGAAGTCACCTTGTAAACTATTTGAGGAACAGGTAGACAGGTCCTTTTTTAAAAAATTTTTCTTTATTGTGGAAAGTATTACAGATGCCCCCCTTTTTCCCCGCGTTGGCCCTCCTGGTAGACAGGTTCTTAACAGTAAAACCATACGACTGGTAAAGTTCCCTGGAGTGTGTTTTTGTGAGACAAGGGCACCTGAGCAGGAAAGGAAGCATACACAATTGGTCTGGCTCTCTACAATTTAATGGCTCTCTACACTAATAGCTGCTAATTTGCAGGAGTGCACTTTGAAGTCATCTAATGATAATCAATGGTTTTATGGTTCTAAGCCAGAGAAGGGTCTGTGTGGGTTTTTTTCTCTTTCATTTGCCAGTATCACCATTATATATAAACACGGGTCTGCCTAATCATATTTGCCACTGTTTGGATAGATTTATTACCACCACCACCACTCCCTGCCCAATGCTAACATACTTTTATTTCTGGTTTTTGTTAGACCTTGCACACTGCCAGTCAAACCTTGTGGAACTTAGCAAACTCCTGCAAAATTTGGAAATACTTCAGAGAACTCAGTCAGCACCCAACTTTACTGACATGCAGGTAAACATATTACTGTTGGTAAAAGGACCTTAAGATATTAGCTCGGAATTTTTACTAAATTGTTCCATAAATGTTTAAAGTAACATTAAAGGGAAATAACTACAATGTAGATTAGTTTCTATTCTGGAATCATTCTTAGTATTTTGGAATCTTGGTGCCATTGTGGTTAGATGTCTAATTTGAAATGTCTTACATTTCAATACAAACTAGAAAAAATAAAAATCTGAATCATTCATCTATATCTGTGTTACATTAAAAATGATAGCCTTGAAGGTATAACTTAGATGCTCTGCTCTCAGAATTATTACCATCTTTTCACGTAGGAAAAAAAAATGCTACAGATCTCTAATCCTGCTTTCATTTTGGATAGCAGAAAAACATATTTAAGTTCTCATCTTTGCTTTTGAATGCCCACTGTGCATCAGATAATGCCTTCTCTTGGCTTGTTGCTTTAGGTGTCTAACGGTGAGTCTAGACTAACTTGCTCTGCTCTCTTTGTCTAGGCCTGTTTTGTATATGTGTGAACTTAACAATACTTTGTTGCTTTTAACTGTTTGTATAATGTAGGCTAACTGTGTAGATATTTCAAAGAAAGACAAGCGGGTCACAAGAAGATGGAGAACAAAAAGTGTCAGCAAAGATACAAAAATACAACTGCAGGTACAGACTTTACTTTTCCTCCATTCATATTTTTTCATACTTTTATAGTCTTTACATATCAGTTCATGGAAATTAAAAGGTTTACAGCAGCTTAACTGCTTTAAACCCAGTGCTTTTCAGACTGTTATGTTATCCAAAATAGAGGTAAATCTATCCTTTGTACTCTGATCTAAGTAAAAAGAATGTAAAATAAAGGTAAAAATTATTTAATATGGATGTAAAGTGGCATTTTTATTCTGTTATGGCCTTAGAACCATTACAATATATCTTTTAAAAAGTCATTTTAAAAATCTCAACTGACTATTCAGTGGGTTGTAATGAACACTCATTTTTATATAATAGATCTTAAAAGAGCCAAATTTGTACCTATCAATAAAAGAGTGAGAGCTACAATAGATTGAAAATCAATAAACCTGGGATCTAGCCTGATTACTGTGATTTCCTAGCAATATAATTTTATGCATTTCTCTGAAATTTTCTGGGCTTCTATTTGTTCCTGGGTAAAGTAAAGGAGTTAATGTAATGATTTCTGAATTCCCTTCCAACTCTAAAATTTCATAATTCTATAAAATAGATATTATTTGGCCATCATCAATCACATTTAAAATCTGAACTGGAGTCTTAATTGTTCATAATAAACTTAACTTAAATTTATTTTCAATGTTATTTATTTAATATGAATAATTTTAAAATAAGATCCTATTTTGTTATTTTATTGCAATGATACTAAATATGGTAAATGCCTAAAACCTCTTATGCCATAAATTATATTATTTTTAGATCTCTAAACTAGAATCTCTAATACTCTGATCCTAGCTGTATATTATAAAGGACTCTTGCCTGGCACAATCAAAATTCAACTTATGACTTTGCTTTGCTTTCTATTGCACTATAAATCTATTTATTTTCTAATACAAAGGTAAAGGGAACTGTTTTGTGGAATTCGTCAATGTCTTCTGAATAAATAACTAATTCTTCTTTAATTCTGACTTTATTGATAACATTTTTGTGCCATAACTCTGAATGTGTAAATAACAAACTCCTTGTTGCTTTCCTTGCTAATCTGATGTTTTTGAAAATAAGTTTTCATAAGCACTAAAAATTTATGGTTTATTTAGAATGTCCACATTTTCTGAACACAATTTCTTGTGTTCCTTTGTTCAGTATGTTTTCCCCTCTATTCAGAAAATTAGTACTGTAGAGACAAATGTGCCAAATGACTTCACAAGAAAATTACCTAAAATTGCTTTTGGCAGTTTCATTTGTTTTGAGCACATGATTGTCTAGTTTTGTGGCTGGTTGTTTGTTTTTTGTTTGTTTGTTTGTTTTTTTAAATCCTGGTGTCTATGGTTATTATAACCAGGTAAAGGAACCATTATAAAAATTGTTGATTATAATTAGCAATTATTTTAATCTTGTTTTTATAAGGTTTGCCATTGAACAGATTTCCATTCACAGCTGTTGTCTTGAATGGTTCTCAGTGAGTCTGAGTGCAGTGCCCCTAGCCACCCTGTGTGGCCACGAGGCCACCATAGTCCCCATATTGCTCAGTTTTCCTGAAGGAAATGGGATGAACTCTGAATACCCATCGTTACAGGCTGTGCTTTTCAATGTGCAGGAAGTTTATGAAGATTTTTTTAAGTCATTTAAAGAAATTATTCAAAAAAGCAGGCAAATATGCTTCATTCATACCCCTGCAGCATTTTTTGGGAGGTTTGGGGGGAGCTTTTTTGTTTTTAAGTTTTTATTTATGCTGTTTTGCTTTGCTTTTGTTTTACCAAAAGTATAACAAAATGGCCCTGTGATTCTGGATTAATTATTTTTTAGGGGAATTGGGATCAGCTCATCCTCCCACTCAAAGAAAACTTGAAACTTACAAAAGTAGATTTAATTGCATCTCCAACTGGAAATAAACAGACTTGGGGCTAGCAGTAAGCTATGAATCATTCCCAGAGAGACCCTACTTCCACATGGGCTGACTGGTAAAACAAAAGGTATGGTGGGGGAAGGCTGCAGAATTTGGTACCACCTCTGGACCTTTTCTGCTCACTCAAACCAACAGGCCTTCCAGGATCCCTTAGGCTGGGGAAACCATAAAATCAACCAGGAGTGACTATGATCAATATAAATGCCATTACTCATCAGCATTTTACCTACACAAAGACATAACATTTATTTTTTACTGTCGTGGGTTACCACCTCCTCCCACTCTAATATACAGGATTTCCCTCCTGTTTTAAGTGTTTCTTGACCATGGGAATTCCATCTGATGGTGCCACGTACTTGTTTGGGCCCATAGTCATCTCACTCCTTGAACCACTCGCTCTGATAGTCACTGTTGCAGCCAACTTGAGAGGCTTTGTGAGTGGCTCATTTTCCATCCCCTTTTTGTAACTTTTAGAACACCAGCCATTTGTGAATGAACCTAGACTGTTGATGGTAGCGGTTATTGTTATTGCTATTGTTGTTATTGGTGCTTTCACTGAATTTGCATTCAACATTCTGTAGCAGTTTTCATTTTGAAATAATTATAAAAGAGATCATTTGAAAAATGGACCCCAGGAGAGTAAAAATGAACATGTTATACTGCTTGTTTAATTGCTTATTCTTACATAGGTTGTTAGATTGTGCTATTGATTTGAATGTGAAGGTTATGACCGTATTTCCACGAGAAGCCATTGGGAAGCTAGCCTCAGGAGTCCGTTGTGTAACTCACTGAAGGCAGCATTTGTCCTAGAAGGTGCTGTGGAGATTACCTTTTAGAAAAAGGACTTCCTGTCTCCCCAACTTCAAGTTTTCTGGTTCTAATAAAAATTCCAATATCATCCTTGGACAGTAACAGTTGGACTGTGTTTTAACTGCAAGAACAGAATGATTTTTAAAGGGTTGCTGTACAAAAGAGAGCTGCCAGTTTCCTGTGTTGCTAATAGCATGAATTACATACTAGATCCCTAGTTGTTGGAGAGGAGGAATAATAGGAGGTATGAGTAGGAGATAAATGACTGGATGTCGTTCATTGTAGCCATCTTAGATCTCACAGATGCTCAGATTACACTGTAGGCTCAAAATAAGTTCTTTTTTACTACATTAAACATACAGGGATTTTGTACAGAAAATTTTTTGGTGGAAAACAAATGACATATGTACATATCATATACGTACGCAGATTTAAGAACTTGGAAGAGAAATGTGATTGTAACTTGGCAAATATAAAGAGAATTGGAGATAAAGGGATTTAAAATATTTTTCTATTGTTAATGACTAAAGCAGTCTTGCTCTTTTTCTCTATCTGGGCTGTTTGGTGGCTCTGAAGTGCATTTCAGTTAACTGGCATCAAAAATATTGCTCACAGCCCTGAAGAGCCAGGATCTGGCCAATGGAGGCAGAGTTGAGTGGTTAGAAGGAAATGTCACTATTCCTTAATCCCGCCCAAGAAGAGAAAGAGAGAAAGAAAGAAAGCTCAGGGATTCTTCCACCAGTTTATGCACAGGTGCACATCACTGAATGAAAGCTATGCTTTCAGGTTTCCATGGCTGATTTTTGTAGGCATTGTCCCCACACACAGAGAAAACCGAAGATTTTTTTTCTTATGCTATGGGGACCTGCTTGGAAAATTACTCAACCTGAAAATCCCAACGCCATCCCTAATGTGGAATTTCAGAGAGAGCTTCATAGGAAGGGTTTACATGGGGAGTTGAAGATTTCTGCTATCCCCGCCCCTGACTTTTTCCTCCCATCAGGAAACAAAAACATTCTGCCTGGTCAACAGAAGCTCCCATGAGAACCTGTTCGTTTTCATTTTTGCACATTATTTTTTTAATTGCTTTTTCCTGAACTTTTCTTTTTTTTGCTTCCATTTAGTGAATGCCTTTTGACTTTATATAACATTGCATGAATAAAACAGTGTGCAAATGTATTTTTACCTTGAAAGCACAAGCTATTTGTCAGTGTATGCTTTTCCATCTCTTTTTGGGGTGGGGGCGATATTAGCTAACAGACTTATGTGTTTGGTTATTCTGTGATGAGAAGGATGAACTTTTCCCACAGCCCGAATGCCCCTTAGAGCTCTTTTTAATGCTAAGATTTAGGAAAAGTCGACTTCTGTTAAAAACTCTCCCTCGCCCGTGTCTGATGATCTCCCGTCCTCCCATACCCTGCCCTCTCTCTGCCTCACCCCGTGTTTTTTCCTCCCTCCTCTTCTCTCATTCGCCGTCAGGAAGGGCCATCTGTGAAGAGCCAGTTCGGCTCAACCCGGCGCCGGCAGAGGCTAGCAGCCGCCGTGGCTACAACAGTGAGTGGATCCCAATCTCAAGGGGACATTTATAACATTGAGAAGCTGTGTGCGTGTGCCGCCTCCCCCGTCCTGATGTTGCCGCTTGTGTGTGGCCGCATCAAACGTGGCTCATTCCTGCGTTGGTATAGCTTTCGCATGCTCCCTGGGTGCCTTTGCATGGCAGGAGTGGACACGGACATTGGTGTGTGAGTTGGTAAACTGTTCCACAATCCAGTTCTCCCTTTCTGCTGTCCTTTAAGAAATAATTTCAGTGCAAGGTTGCAAAACTTGTGGTGTGGGATTTCCTTAAACAATATTGTTTGTTTGTTTGTGTGTTTGCCATACTGACATTGGAGCCTTCGCTGAGTTCTGTTTTTCTCAGGAAAGTCATGTTACTACAGACATAAATTATGCTTTTTTTGGTAGCTGTGTGACTATTTGAACAGGATGTGAGAATATAGACATGAGAGGGCAAGAAAAGGTGAATTTTTATGTCATCTCCAAATGGCTACATGAGTTACACTTAGCGAGGGAAAATTGTTTATAAGCTGAAAATCAGAAAATATAATAAAAGCAGAACAACCACAAAGTTAGATGATGTTTAATCCATATATAGAGGTTGGTTTGGCTTTTCTTTTTTAATGGAAGGATATTAGGAGGACAGAGGAAGTACTGAAGCAGATAAGGCAAATAACAAATTTAAAAAGGAAAAGTGTGCAGAATAGTCAACTGTCCATATGGAGCACAAAGTAGAACTTGCAAATACAAGAACCCCTTGCTGGATAAAATTAATAGAGTGCAAGTTCGTAACAATTATGTATGTTGGTTTTTTGGCTATTAGATAGTATCTTAAGTTAATAATAGTTTTACTCTTGCTAGTGGTGGAGTATATTTTAAGATTAGAATTTCTTATAAATATGGAAAGGTTTTTGTTGTATTAATAGGAGATGGGTACTGGTGCAAAGATTGATTTTCTACTTTATGATTGGCAACTGACTCTTGCATTTTATTGAGGTACGTAGCTGGATTGTTCGAGAAACAGAATTGCTTTGATTATGAAATGAACCAGTGACTTGGAATTTATTAGGGGACTGACTCTTAAACTCACATTTTTTGGATTTTAGAACAAACAAATTATTGAAATCAGTTTCATGTTAATGTATATCTTATGCATATACTCAAATGCAGATGAATAAAGTACATGCCACCTACATGGTAAAGAGATGTATAATCAGTTAAATAATTCTTAAATGTAATCTTTCATTTATAAATACAAAAATCAGGTGATTATTAGGGAACAGAGTCTCAGCACAGAAAGGAAAATACTAATGTTTCCTTAAATAATGTACTTCTAAGATGGCATGTAGGGAAGTGAATGTTTCCACTGTGTTCATTTTTTAATGGCAGATACATATAGTGAATATAATAAAGCTGGAAATAGAACCTATTTGAATAGAATGGGTTTATATTTTTTTAAAGTTGAGAATAGAAAAGGCTTTTAAAAGATAAAAGTATTCATGCATACTTCTCAGGGTAGCCGTGACCATAGAAGTTAAGAATAACCTAGATGCATCTAATGAGAAAAGTTACTGGCAACATTTAGCAATGAATTCAAGAATAGCTTGGGGAGGAGGGAGTTACTCTAAACCCTCTGAAATTTATAACTTCATGCACATCCGACATAGCAACATCTAGCAGGACCCTCAGCCGGCCCCCTTGGCCCCTCACCCATAACTCAGTGACCTGACACTAGTGACTCACCCTATTTCTTTTATTACAGTGTCTCTCTTTCCTCTTCCCAACACTAAAGTTATCCCACCAATTTTGAACCCATCCTAACCTGCTAGTACCTTTTACTTATAATTCTTCCAAATGACTACTGGTCACTCGTTTTTCTTGCCCACTTGGGTGTCTGGGGCAGCTGAGATTGGCTGCCAATGAAAAGTGCACCCAAGGAGATATTTCAGAGATTTATTCTTGTTCCCTAGCACCAATGCCCAAATGGTCCACTTGCAACATCAGCCAGACCCAACAGAATAGGGGTGGAGAAGGAGAAACACTGGCCCCTCTGCATGGATGGACTCTGAGCGTCCCAGGCAGTCAGCACTCCCCATGGGGTCCCTGTACACACAACGCAGAATGACAGCAGCAGACCTTGCTACTGGCTCTGTGAGTCATCGGCACTTAGATCTGCTGTTGTGTTTTCTCTTATTCATACATATTTGTCATTGCTAACTTTCAGTGCCAGTAGCTCCCTGTCAATCCATTTGTCTTTTAATTTCTTCACGGACATGTGTTAAAAGCATCTCCAGTCCAAGCTGTGGTCATTGGTACCAGAACATTCCAGGATCAGGCTTCCTCCCTGTCTCAGGGTTTCAAGGAAAGCCCTCTATTTCTTTCCTGAGCAGGCTGCAAAGGCCACATTCAGTGCTGAGGGTTCTGGGTACAAACATTGAGAGCTGCAGACAGCTCCCATTCCAGCCATCACTGACGGAGAACCTAGTTGCCACTTGAACTTTGTAATCCCATAATACCTAGATGGATGAGTAAAATACTAAGTCCCCAGACTGAAGAGATACTCAATTAGAGTTAGATTAATACATTCCACTTTGTATTCTCAACTTCGTTTCATGAATTCTATCAGATGGCTCATTCCATGTACTTCTTTTAACAACAACAACAAAGAAGATATCAATATAAACATTTTCAGTAGGAAACATATAAAAATTAGTTTTCATTACCCCAGGGGCCTGAATGCAGTTGGAATGCAGCATTCCAGATGTCTTTCCCTGCGAGTTATATACAAACCTACTTTGACTGGTTTAATTGCCAATTTAAACTTCCATCATGTTCAAAATATAAATTTATAGTTTATGTTTTTCTTCTGAGAATCTGATTCCAAATTTTAATAGAGAGGCTGTGATCTCAGGGACAAGCTGGGTCCTCACTGTGCTCCCTGGGCCTCCACTGTACCATGTCTCCCATCGAAGCCTCTCACCAGCTCTCACAGCCACCTCCCTACCCACCTCTCTCCAATGCCAGGGATGACACCCCTCTTCAATGCCAGGCCAGTCCTTGGAGTGTTGAGGACACCGAGTGTAAATAAAACCCCTTTCCTTGATCATCAACACATTACATTCCCCATCACCCAACACCCACGCTCCTGTTTCTCAGTGCTCTTCTAGTTCTTTGTCTTGGGAAACCATATCCTTAAATCTGAAACTTTCTGACTTCCCCACTTCCCCAAGGTACAGCCTCTCCCCAGGACCTCCTGATCTCCACTACCCTTCCCATGGATTTTCCTTGTCCCTCCTAGAAGGCTATGGACTGACTGCTCTTTCTAGATTTAGCATCACTACAGTGAAGGTCAGAAATTTCCTTTATCTTTAAATACTCATCCATATAAACCCCATTCCTTTATAAGCATCCCCAAAGGACTTCAGTTATTGTTCTCACAAGTGACCTGGACAGGATTCCAGCAAAGTATGAAGCCTAAGGACTCCATTTTTTCAAATAGCTTCTCTGTTATCGTGTGTATGCTGTGTGTATGTGCGTCTCTTCTGTGGCCAGTCAGAAACTGAGCTTGATGAGGTGAAGGAGCTGTGTACATCTCCCAGCCCAGTGCAGCCAAGGTCCCCATGGAGGATGAGATAGTTACTTTGATAAATCCAGATACCAAATGATTCAGATAATACATTCACATGGTTAGGGTAGCTGAATCTAGGGGGAAAGCTTCATGCTCACTTCCTTCCCCAGGAAGCCTTGGTATCTTTTGAGATATATAACTTCCTACCAAGGCAAAGTTACATCCAGAGGACCCTCTGTCCAGTCTCAACTGCCCTTACCCAGATCCACAAACTGCAGCTCGGTCAGATTTTTTGGTTCTCTCCAACTCCTTTGTCTAGCCTCTGTATCCGCCATGCACGTGCACTAGTTTATGTTCATTCTCTCTTTTTTTCTGTCAGGAAGTTTAAAGCAAATATTAAAAAACGGGGGGAAAGGACAAGGTTCTGAGATACATAAACACCAGACAAGATATTGGTTTCTTCCTCCCACAGCATATTTTCCGTTAGATAGAGGATATGAGTAATGCTATCATTTATATAAAATTCAGCTTGCAAAGGAGTCTAAGAGTCTGGCTCTTAAAGATAATTGAATGAACATCTGTGCAATAAGAGCTAGAGGAGGTTACTAGTCTTATTTATAAGAGGAATTGGTATTTTTTCAAGAATGTTTGGCTGACAGCATTTGTAATGGTCAGGTAGAATGTTCTAGAAGGAGAGGGCAAGGTGCTTTGCCTTCACCCATCACAAATCTAGTCCAGATCCAGCCTGGACAGGGAAGTATCTCTAGCCATTTGGAAAAATCTATAGTAATATGACTTTTTTTTACTTAATGCTTTTCCATATTGGCCAGTTAATAAGCCATGCTCATACATGTAACAGCATTGTGTTAAGATACAAAGGTAAACTACAGTAAATTATGCAATATATATGTCATTTACAAAGATTTTGATAAATCAATTTCAAACTTAATTGTGAGTCTCTCTTAGCCATTATATTTACTACTAAACTTATTTATGTTTTATCTAATGGCTATGGGACAAGTACATTTTCCTGTATGTGCACCTCTTGAATTTTTACCTGGTGGGTGAGCTCAGAAAGCAGTGAGCATAAAAAGTCCTCTGCCACGAGTACACAGACCTTATAAGACAAGGACAGCCGTGTCACAGTCTAGCGTTTTCTGCCATTGGTTTTTTAGATACAGCTGTGGGTTCAGAGCTGAAACTTATCTGGAATTGTGCCTTTCCTTGCTGTCATTCTGAAGTCCCCTCACCCTGTACCAGTGACAAGCCAGTGAGTCAGTCGCAGTCCTAAATCCACTATGGGAAATGAGACTTCTTCCCACCCCCACCACCTGCAAAGTAAATGAGTACCGGGTGTCTCCGTGTGTATCACCAGGGAGGAATCTGTTATTTGGAAGACGGGAAGAGATCTTTTCTGTGTGTGAGAATGCACAGTGCACTGTTGCTCATTAATGATTCGTATCTTCCCCTTTCAGGTTCCTTTCAGTGCCACCATGTCACCGGTTCGCTTGCACTCCTCCAACCCCAACCTTTGTGCAGACATTGAATTTCAGACTCCCCCTAGCCACCTCACTGACCCTCTGGAAAGTTCAACAGATTATACAAAACTTCAAGAAGAATTCTGTCTAATTGCACAGAAAGGTAACACCAACTCTAACGTGCCCTTTCAAGAAGTACTCTTCTTTGACGAGAGGTTGCCATTTACTCCTTTATCCTTGTCTAGGTGGTCATGGAGAAAGATGAAATGGTTTATATACTGGTTGGAGTTCCATATACAGAATGCAGTAGGATACGACGCCTACATCTTGGGACAACACAAATCATAGGTTTACTGTTTTGACTGAGTAAAGAAAGTGTCATTGGTGGTGGGGCAGCGAGGAAGGAAGAAAGACAAAAGGAGTTATCCTGGACAGGCCAGGTTATAAATTATTCTTGAAAGTGTGTGTTAAATGGAACATCTCAGCCAATACTCAAGAGCCAGGTGGTGCAGGAAACCAAAGGGAGCACATGGAGGGCACCTCTGGGAATGCTTTTGTTTTAACTATATTTTTATTGATTTCAGAGAGGAAGGGAGAGGGAGAGAGGAGAGATAGAAACATTGATGAAAGAGAGACATGAATCGGCTGCTTCCTGCTTGCCCCACGATGGGGATGGAGCCCGCAGCCCAGGCGTGTGCCCTGACTGGGAATTGCTTGGTTCATAGGTTGATTCTCAACCACTGAGCCAGGCCAGCCGGCTGGGAATGTTGAAGTCAACAAAAATTTGTATTCTCAAACCATCAGCACAGATATGCCATCAGATATTTCTTTAATTCTATTATCCTACAACAACAAAGCTAAATCATCTTCCCCCCTTTTCCTCTATAGGTTTCTCAGTTGGAATGCCAACCCTCTTTCACCTGCTCTTTTACTCCTAGTACACCTTTATTACATTTCTTAGCTGGATGCTAATTCTGTCACTAGTCTAGAGTAATATTATTTTGCTTATAAAATAGCATTGATTACAGTCAGTAGAGCCAGTAACTTTTACTCATATTGGGAGAGGGAGCGTAGGAGTAGGTAGAACGAGACAAGTGTGAGTAGCTGCCTAAGGGAGATGAGTACATTTGAAGGTTAGTCCCAGGAAAGCTTTGTGAATATAGTTGCAATCCTGAGTCTTTCAGGAAATCCAAGTTTCAACAGAATTTTAGAGCCTTTTGAAACAACGTATTTTCTTTTCAACTGTGCTAGGAAAAAGAAAGGGCTTCTCTATGACTGTTGAGTGAACCCTTTAGAAAGAATTATGGATTTTGAAATGACTGAGTCTGCTTTTACAGCTGCCAGTGGGATTGATGTGTTCCAGCTATCAAGTTATTACCTTCAAATTGATGATGGAGAGAATGTAGCAATAAATCAATAGGTTGTGAGTCCCTTGTTATCCCACCATTTTTCCTCTTTAATATGGGCCAGTCTTTATGCTAAAATTTTCCACTTCTAAAAAATAACCTTTCTCAAATAAGGAAATTCCTCTTTTTAGATCTTGAATATTATAGCAATTCTGTTATGGTAACGATGAGAGTTGTAAATTCAACCTTTTGTAATTTAAAATTAAAGACTGCCTCAGATTACACCAATGTATGTTGTTAGGTATGCAGGAGTTGGGAAGGGAACTAGAGTTTTTATTGTTACTTTTAAATCAAAATACTTCTAACATCAAGATATTCCTGGCTAAGAAAGGATTGCAGGTACTGTTCTTAAGACCAAATCAGTTCCTAACTCAAAGAGAACTAGTAAGCACTTTCTAGATCAGCTGCCTGTTTTTTTGTTGGCAGTGATAGGGTGTGGCTGGTGATTCGGAGTGTGAAGGAATTCACAATGAAAAGAAGAGATGTAGAGAGGAAGTTTATTTTACTTTCCCTGAAGGGAAAGGACCACGTATTGCTAATCAATACAGGGCAAGAAGTAAACGGCAGCCTGCTCTTCTAAGCAGAGGCTGTAACTAAGCAACAAGGAAGGGAGGGGAATTTGGGGCTGAAGTTGAGTAGACATCAGGGAGGTTGTCTTGAAAAAATTATTGTTGGTTTGTTTTTCAGGAGACAGTCCAGGCAGGTGTCCTAGGGAGGTGTCTTATCAGCATTTTTCCTAAGCCTGTAAAACATGCTTAGAATAAAAGTTATTAAAACTTCAAAAGAGGCGTGTTTGAAGAGGATGGGGGAAGGGAACTTTTTACTAACTAGAGACCCCTTGGTGCGAATTATCCCTGAGTTGTAAAAACAGCAGGGAGGAGGGGTATGCAAGAATGTAGCCTTGAGAGTAGCTTATCTTGTCTCGCAGTTTGAGCAGAGGGGCTGTTTGA